TTTTAAGTTATTGATTATCCCTCCAAAATGCTTATTATAAAATCTTCACAATCTCTCATTCACATCCTAAGCATCTCTTAATATAAATAATCAGTTGTTGGCCTCAACGTTAGATGTCACATATGAGGGATATCCACTTGAATGATACGAGATTGTGTTCAGTCTTCTGTAATCCAAGACATACATTCAACCCTCCTGATACGTGCTCAAGCATGATCAGGATCAGTATTGATTCAGCCATACCTGGGAGAATTAACTGTCGAATGACGATAATTCCAACACAGGACGTATTTGATGTCCATTTGGTGTTTGGAGATCATACTTCGTTCATTTGGAGTCTCCCGTGGCTGAGGTTAGTCAAAGAACTCTTCTATGCATGTTCCAGGAAAATTGGGGTTCACACTAACCTACCGACGCGAGAGTCAGGGATGCCTGTTCTCACCAGAATCCCAAATTGAAACTTTTGGAAAGTTTATTTTTGAGTTACGGGATTTTTTTTTTAGTGATACGCAATTTTCCATAGGTTATGGATTGGTAAAAGCCTTCCTACAGACATCTAATGCAAAATTGAGATTTTGACCCTCGGGGCCGTACCCAGCCCCCGGACGGCCATTTTCGCCTGATCCAACACACCCCGGTGTTCACTTGGATGTGGGGGGACCTATTTTCAATCGTGAATATCATCTCGCGGTTCAAAAATCCATAGGAATTCCTCGCACGAAGCTTTAAGTGAAGGAGGAAAGAAAATAATTTTTTTTTTCTTTTCTTTAAGGGGTGGCACATATGCGCCACCTATGGGCTCCTAAGCGCCCAAGATGAGCACCCCTTGCTAGTCGGGGCGCATATGTGCCCCCTTGGTGACACATACACGCCCAAGGATCTAATAGTTGCTCCCCTTAGCGCCAAACCAAGAAGGTGGCAGGCGCACTTTCGCTTCGCTTCTTTACATCAAGGCAGTGCATATACGCCCTCAAAGGCACTTAAGCACCCCAAACAAAACCCCGATACTGAAAGTTGAGCGTATATGCGCGCCCAACTCAAATTGTCGCAAATTTTCACCGCGGGAAGCTGGAATTGGGGGAGATCATTTTGTCCCAAATTAAGACTCTTGATTTAAATATTAACTTACCAGGTTTTATAGATCATTTTGTCACTCAAAATATATTCTAAAACTTCTTATTATGCTTTAAGTGTATGCTACGAGCTCACTTGGATTCAGTTTGGATCATTTAAATCCGATTTTTTCATCATTTGCTATAGTTTTTTCATTATTTTAAAAAAAAATTATGGGGCTATTTTCTTATAATCAGAAATTTTAAAGTAAAACTTATAATTTGTTTAAAAAAAATTGCATGCATGCCCCATAATTCCTATATATTTATATATCTAACATTTTAAGATTGATTTTTATACTACTATTTGATACCATATGATAATACATGAAAATGTGTATTTCTCTAACTTAATAATAATTGCATTTGTGTTGTAGTATTGAAAATTTGAGTGTTATGCATGTAAATATGAGAGCTCACTTATTAGATTTGTAAATATATAGAAATTGGGGGGTATATATATACAAACCACTCAAAACTTGTTATTTACAAATCAACCACCCTCTTCCATCCATCATTCAAATTCTCGCTCAAATATCAAATTTCAAGATAAAACCCCAACCCGTGTTATTCACTTTCATCAAATTCTCAATAATTTGATCGTGGCACAAGTAAAAACACGAGTTTGGTACTGGACAAAAATCACCTGGGTGGTTAATTTGTAATTATCAATGTTTCTGGTGACTTGTGTGCAATTAACCTGACCATTTTTAATGTAAATAAAAAGATATAATAAATTTTATTGAATAATTAAATTTATTATCTTTTGACAGAGTGAAATAATAATTGCTATTAGTTTATTAAATGGGGCCTTTACATAAATACCACCCAATTCTTATGTATTTACATATCCAACACCTAGACTTTAGTTTGTTTATATTTATACCGTTCACATATTTTATATCACATAAACATGCTACCATTTTAGCTTTAAAAAATGTGAGATGCATCTTTTTATGCATACATAAAATGACATGTAAAAATTGAAATTTAGATGTTAATTGCTGTTTTGAATCCAAGAGTGTTCGGGAAAGACACGAGGTATAGAGCGTCATGAAGATGAAAGAGAGTATAGTGTAGAATAGTAAGAATGTTTAATCATCTATTCATGATATTTTACCCCCTATTCTTGACTCTATCGATACATGATCAGAGGTTGGGTAATCGGTTAATCGGCATGAGAGCGGATCGTCGTTTATGGCAAATCCCTTGACATGTTATTCTGGTTGCTCGGTCCAGACTTCTGCTTTTCTAGTGTCCAATCTGCCGTTTGTCATCAAGCATGTTCAATCGGTCATTCCTTCCACCCAAATCAGTCGTTTTCCTTGAGATTCGTGTTGCTATATTATTTGTACACATATTTAATTCCCTTATAGGGACGAGCATGACCGTGCTAGTTCCCCGAGCGTAAAAGAATGAACCAAAAATATTGTTAAGGTACTTTTTATTCATATTATTGAGTGTTTTTGCCAAATGAAAGGAAGGATCATACAAACAACCATTACTATGTTTCATCTAAAAGCAAAGATAACTTTAAGGAAAGAACTTCTTTAGATCGTCGTTGCTCCATGTTCGAGGGATCTCATTTCTTGCGAATGTCTTTAACTTCTATATCACGGGTCTTGTTTTGTAGTGAATGATGTAGGGGACATTCCAAGTCGGTCCAGCTTCCCGATAGTCTGCTCCCCTAATGGTATGGTTCACTTTTTTCAATACTAAGTCTCTTGGTACAAACTTTTTCTCACAGACATATTTGTTGAAATATTTAGTTGTCCTCCGCTTGATTTCTTCTTGAAGGGTTGTGTTCGCTCGATTTTCTTCGGCAAGGTCTACAACGAGTCTGACCCCTTCATTGGTTCGCCTTAAACCATTCTTCCAAGTCTTCCTTGTTGAAGGTATTGTAGTTAATTCATTGAAACTTAAGTGTTAGCCACTTCGATGCTGAAATACATTGATGCAACTAGAGAAAGACGCATAATGAGAGTTGTCGTTGCAGTATGTTTGATGTACGATTATTATAACTTGTACATACAGCGCTCTTCTTGCATAAATATTGGCGACAAATGAGTTGGGGAGTTGCCTACGGGCCACCCAACGAAATTTAGCAATATGTTATGCATGACATAGACAATATTCACCGATCTGTGATAGGAACTATATAGAAATCATAGATTTCACAACTATATTCGCAATATGTCATCTTACATGTTTCCTAAATAAGTACAGATTGTGATTGTCGTAATGGTTTTCCACAATTATATTTGACGACATCCTTCCCACAGCGACATCGACTTTTTTAGGTCGAACGAGGATCATGCACATGTCCCTACCAAGGCGGGCCACCCAACAAAATTTAGCAATATGTTCCGCATGACATAGACAATATTCACCGATCTATGATAGGAACTACACAGAAATTATAGACTTCACAATTATATTTGCAATATGTCATCTTACATGTTTCCTAAATAGGTACAGATTGTGATTGTCGCAATGGTTCTCCGCAATGGTTCTCCACAATTATATTCGACGAAATCATTCTCACAACGACATCGACTTTTTTATGTCGAACGAGGATCATGCACATGTCCCTACCAAGGCATATGAGCATCGTCTTGGACAGTTTGTGACACAAACCGAAAATGATGTTCCCGAGACCAGCACTCGAGATGGGGAAGGTGCACGCGAGATGACAGAGTTGAGAGATCGAATTGCAGATGCGATAGTTGGAGGGTGATTAGAGGGAATATTAGTTCTTATTTTTGTTAATTGAAATAGTTGTTGAAGACATTCATTGTTTATTGTATCAGTCTTTTATACAGTTCATAATTATTTATGTTTCTTATGCATATGATATTTATTGTTTTGGTTTTTTACGCAATTTGTATGTTTTTTTTTTTTTTTTTTTGTGGGATTTGGAGGTATATGATGAAACGTTTGATCTTATGAATTCTTCTGGATGTGGCCCTTATACATGTGTCATACATTTGTACGAGGAGATTGATGATGGTGATACGGGGATCCTTGCACTTCCATGACAATTTTGTGCATCATAGAAGGCTCTATAGCCACCCTAGATGGAGGAATCCATTCGAGATCTTTTGGCCTTTGGAATTTAAAGCAGCCTCTCCATTTTGAACTAGGCCAAGTGCTGATGAAACGTTTGATCTTATGAATTCTTCTGGATGTAGCCCTTATACATGTGCCATACATTTGTACGAGGAGATTGATGATGGTGATACGGGGAACCTTGCACTTCCATGACAATTTTGTGCATCATAGAAGGCTCTATAGCCACCCTAGATGGAGGAATCCATTCGAGATCTTTTGGCCATTGGAATTTAAAGCAACCTCTCCATTTTGATCTAGGCCAAGTGCTAGAATCAACATCTACCATAAAAACCATCTTGCCAGTGAACCTTTGCTCCAAAACATTGTCAACTTCAAAACGCATTTTGAACCTCATCCCAATCGAATGGCTATTCCTTAGTGATTCCAAATAGAAGATGACCGTTATTGCTGAATATGAAGGGGAATGGTATGTTGGTTTTCTGCAGTATTACTCCTATGTCATCTACAAGTGGTTCTCCACTTACAAAAAGACAAAAGCACTAATCTACTCTGTGCAAAACTTTTGCCACATGTTGCTGCATTGAAATCTGAAGAGCATGCTGCTGATGCTGCTGGAATGGCAAATGCTGAAAATTTGAAGGGTTTGCAACAGAATTGAATGATGCGAGTACAGCACTAGCCAGCGACACTTAAGAGGTGCAGGGAGAAAATCGAAATCCTCCAGAGAGAAGCCAAAACAGTGAGAGTAATAGTTTTGCATAGCACCCAATTCTTATGCATTTACCTTTCTCACGGCCAAATTTACATTTTTTACGAAATTAACAACTACCTACGAATTAAAAAAAGAGCGGTTAAAATGGATAAATTAGATGGTTAATATGTAAAATGAGAGATTGGGTTTGAGATAGGTAAATGGATAGGAATTGAGTGCTATTTTTTTGTATTGCATTAATTTCAATGGAAACAATGGGGCATTGGACGTTGCGGTATTGAGTGGTGGCTTCATTCTAAAGAAACAGATCTAATTTATGTTTTAATATTTTTGAAATTTGAGTCCCTTAACATTGATTTTTGAACTAAATCTCAGTAATATGAATGTCTTAGTTAAATTGATCGCTTTGAATGTATCGGCGCTATCTGCTACGCGATCGAAGGTTGTTTGGGAGACACCGTCGACAAGTCAAGATAATTCGTGTCCAATTATGCGCAATGATCATTTTCGTATAGTTTTATTATTTGATCTGGAAAAGGAACCCTTTTTAGGTTTTGTTTGAGGAGACTTTTACCCTCCTTTCTATTCTACAGAAAGTGCACGAAATTTGAATGTTTGTTTAGCTATTCAATTTTTCTGAATGTTTTTTACAATCGCAACGTTATTTCAACAGCATTTTCTTTTGTTCTGAATCGCAAATATGATGTGGCGGTGTGAAATGCGGCTTTTAAAAGAAATTTTCTCGATAGTGAAGTGTCGTCAAACGAGCCCTTAAGTAAGTTTAACATTCTCGTCGTGCTCACACAATCCATTTTGTGGCGAATATTGTTTGAGCAACTTTGATGATGGTTGAGAAAATTCAAATTTGATTCGTGTACATCGCATTAGCAGTTCATGATTTTCGCTGTGTTTTCCCTATTCGAGCATGAACGACTATACTTTAGGCAACTTTGATGCTCTAAAAGAAACACTATAGTTTGTTTTATCAAAAGGGGTGTTATTTGAACTGTTACAATGATGTTTAAAGTAAACTAGCTTCGATCTATAAATCATTATATTCGTCGTTCGTCCACTTGCTTTAAGTCTGATCGATTCGCCTTGTGAAATATATACGGGGGTCAACAGCACACGGTGGGTTGGGCGTTGTTAATTGCTAACGGATGGACTAATGTCCCCAAGTCAAGTGTTGTTGGTGTTATCCTGAAAAAAGTGGGTATGTGGGGCGAATCGGTCATGGGTGTTGCCCCCCAATCTAATGGCAGGCAACCTCTTTGTTTCCAGGGGGGCTCGGAGTGAGGATCCCACAATTTCACATGTATTCACTCGGTTTATAGTGTTGGGCATGGAATGATACTATGTCATGGGTAAGGCTTATTATTTGCTAGGTGTGGTTTCTTGTACATCGCACCTCCTCAAGTTACGGCCTAGTCGATTCAGCTTCCGTGAATATGAATTGAGCTTTGGGGCATGCTTTTGGGCGGCACAGATCAGGCAAGCGAGGGATTTACCTCTTTTATGCATGAACTTAGGGGCAACCAAGCAACCGTTGAGGGTGCCACCCCTATTATGGATGCACGAGATGACTAGCCCATGACTATTCGCAAGGTGACAATTTTTTTGGCAGTCGGCCTTCTTGAGCATGCGAACAATGAAAATTAAGTGATTCTAAGCTGCATGGGACAATCAGATTGATTCACTTCATACGATGTAATTTTCAAAATATTTGAAAGCTTTGATAATGTCAGAATTATACAATATTGAGCTCATTGGGTTCGTATCATCGAGACGCTCGATTTAACTATAAAATTACTAGATTTAAAGATCATTTGGTCCTCAAAATATATCTCAACTTTTTTATTATGATTTAAATGCATAATTTGAGCTCACTAGGACTAACTTTGACCCATTTTTTATATCATTTGGTTGCCTCACTGAGAAACTGCATTTTTTAATTTAACTTTTGAAGCTACCAATCCAAATATGCACCGAGATTTGTGTGAACCAATATATTTTTTTAGGAATATATCGATCACTGCCAAGGTTAATACATTCCTTAAAAGTCTCAAGTCTCCCCTTTAATAAGAAGAACGACTGCCAAAACCATCAATTCTCTTTTGATGATAACTCCAACACATCAAAACTCATAAAACTCCATTGAAGTCATACTCCACAACTCATATCTTGCACATTGTACTAAAGCATTCTCCAATTATGGAAAAAATGCATCATTTGCAATACATGACTAGCATTAATTAAATCACTTTTAACTTTCCCCTCTTAGAGTTTTTACATAAGAAATCTAATGCAATTTATGAATTACACATAACTTATTTTTCAGTATGTGTACAAACTCTTGTTTAATGTCAAGACGATAAATTCACTTTTTTCATCGCCATTAATGTTGAGAACAACATTAATGATAACATGTTGTTTGTTGATGTTGATTCCTTTCACTAACCAAGGATAGAAATGATGCTCACTAATAAACATAAATGTTATGCTTAATGATACCGAAATGAATATCAATATCGCTCATTGCCAATGACCAAAATATTTATGCTCCCTTTTTCGGCTAGTTAATATTCAACAAATGATTGGTTTACATGAGAAAAAGAGAATAATTGCATACATAGTACTCGAAATACTGCTATTTATAAAGTCTAACATCAAGGTGATATTTGTGAACTACCGAACCGATGTATTCATCTGTGTGACGATCAAACTATTGAGAATTTGATAAAAAACAAAAAACACGGGTTGAGTTTTTATCATAAATTTTGATATTTGAGTGAAAACTAGAAATATGGATGAAAGATGGTGCTAATTTTAAAAATAATAATGCTTCTGGTGCTATTTATATAATTGCCCCAAAAACAATTATAAGAAACCCCTGGACATAAAAAAGTGCATGAGAATGTAATTATTGCATAGAATTTGCCCTATTATTATTAAGCATGCCACAGCAAAAATAAAACATAAGAAGTCTGCTATTAAACTCAAAATCATGACTAAATTTACATAAAATATCATCTAATCACACAACATGTTTTGTTCAATGAACTCATTTCGATGCCTTTTTTCATCGATCATAATTCTCTCCACTTTCATAAAAAAAATCCCTAATTTATTGGGAGAATCACGTACATATCACAAAATTTGCTTAAATTTGCATTCCTAATATTTAAATTATTAAAATTATTATTATTATTTATATAATATTGTAGCAATTAAATCAATAAACTAATGTTATTAGGGTAATTTTTAAAAAAATGGTTATTTACATATATACCAGCCAATTCCAATGTATTCACATATCAAACATTTAAATTTTACTTTTTTAGATTTATACCACCCAAATTTTTCATCCTTTTCAGATGTTAGATATGTAAATACATAGGAACTAAGTGGTATGTATGTAATTATTAAATTTGTTATACGTATGTAATTCTCCCAAATTTATTTTGATGAAAAAAAGGGAGAAAAAAAAAGAGAGGTGTAGAATAAACCAGTAATTTACAGCAGGTCAGAAGAGATCAGAAGAAGAAGAAGAAACAAACAATAGCAACCCAATAGAGTAGAACCAGCGTACTCAATTAAAAAGAATTCGATCACCGCTGGCTGCTGCTGCTCCAGCTACTCGTACTGCTATTGTCATCTTCTGCAAGCTCATCCGCATATTGCCCAGCAAGATTAAAGCAAGACATAGCCCTCGGCCTCCACAGCTTTCCCCTTCTCGATACTCCCCCATCATCAGTCGCCGCCGGCGACTGCTCCCCTTTCTCCCATTCCATCTGATCCTCCGACGCCCAAATCTCCGATTTCCACTTCTTCAGCTTCTTCTCCAAAACTACTCGTTCCGTTTCACCTGATCCGCCCACCGATCCGCTTCTATCGATAGCAGCGGGGTGCGGCTGGCGGCTGCGGAAGCCGCGGCGGAGTGGCGTTGATTTCGTTTAAACCTCCCTTCTTCCTCGGCTTGGGAGACGTAGCGGCCTCCATTAGGTCATGGTAAGCGAAGGCGGAGGTACGGAGATTGGCGTAGAGAGGGAGGCTACAAACGTAGGGATCTGCAATGCCGATGCCGATATTGAGGATACCCTGTGGACGGAGTGAAGCAGGGCGGCGAATTTGGAGGGCGAAGAATCGGGTGGAAAGGGAGGGGTGAAGAGTGCTGAGAATAACGCGGGTGGTGCCGAGGAGGGTATCGGGGCCGGGAAGGATACGGGATCGGGAAGCGTAGATGTTGATTTGGATGGCGGATGTATCGGAGCAGAGAGTTGAATCGTCGATGCGGAAGAGGAATTTGTCGTTCCAAGTGGGGGAAGTGTGGCCGGAGGAATCGAGACGGGTGCGGAGGCGTCGGGAAGGGTGGAGCCAAGTGACGGCGTAGGTATGGACGGAGCGTGAGGAGGGGAAGAGATCTTGGGCGGAGATGAGGGTTAGTTCGAGGAGATTGAAGGTGGGGGGAGGTGGCAATGGGGAGGGAATGGAGTCGCCGGAGATGACGGTGGAGTCACTGCCCTCCGGCGACATGATTTGGTGGAGGTGCGGGGATTTGGGGGAGGCGAGGGGAGGGGAGGAGGAGGGAGATTGGAATAGGTTAAAAAGGTGGGAGGAGAGGAAGGTGAGATATGTAGAAGGAAAGCGAGCGAAGCGGCCAGAGGAGCGCGCGAAGCGCGAGGACGAATCATTTGCTTGATTTAGTATGATTCTGTTTTTATATTGGAATATTTAGGAGAATCCTTGACATAAGAAAATAGTAAAAAAAGGAACAAAGTTTAGGAAGGAGTGTTTTTCTAAAATATATAATAAATAAAAGAGAAATAAAAAAAAATGGGACATGTTGTTGGCATGCAAGATTGTGAAAATCAAATAAAATTAAAATAAAAAAAAGGAGCATGTTGTTGATATGAAAGGTGGTGAAAATCGAATTAGACATTAAATTAGTTGAAGAATGATTCAAGACTCAAAGGTTGAATCAGGGTTGAATTGAAGGTTCAATCGGATGAGCTAGTAAATCATAAATGTTGGATCTTGAATTATCTTTTGTGGGCACGGCTCGAGAGTTAGAGCCGAGTGATGGAGAGAGAAGCGATACTGTCGGGAGAGTCCCCTTTAGTTGTATTTTTGTCTCTTATTTGTACAAGCGTATTTTATAAAATTACAGAAAGAAGATAACAGTTATGGAAACGGTTTTTGATATGATTCAGATTCTAAAATTATGTAGATTTTATATCATATTTGTGTTACAATTTGAATTTTAATACAGTATAAATCGGCGGGCCGACTTGTCTTAGCTCAGCTAATTGAGGCGGTCGGCGAGTGGCGACTATGTCTTCCGAAGTGCATGTTGGTCAGTTAAGGCACTTGGTTGTATGGTGATCTCGCTCACCCCGGGTTCTTCGGCCAACTGCGTTCGAGTAAGTCGTGACTCACTTGTGGTTAAACTGAGTCTAACAAATCTCGTGTTTCGCATTCATGGTAAGTCTGTTGCCTCGGTCGGATCTTCTTATCTCGTAAGGACTTTGGTGGATCTTATCGTTGCCTATGTGAGGTATCCGACGATACTCACTGACGGGATGATCTACGTCTCACTCTCGGCAGACCTTGACGCTACCTAGTAAGGAACCATCTCCTGAGCTTAGACTTATCTCGGGCAAGGAGACCAAATTTCTCATGCTCGGCGTTGAATTACGGTAGGTTGCTTGCCTCAAAGGGAAACTCTTTTATCTCTTTTGTTCCCTTTGAGATTCGTGCCAACATTTCTAGTGTATGCATATTAGTTCCCCAAGTTTTCATGCTCATTTATAGCCATAGCTATAATAAGGACAGGAAAATTTATTAATTAATTATTAGCATTAAAATCATGAATTAATTGAACATTTAACTTCCCTTGGATTTTGTGCCCCGTTTGCTCTATAAATGTGCATGAACTGAGTCTTGTATCATTTGTCGCGAGTTTCCATTTTTTATAGTTGAGGAGTGTTATGGCTGACGGTTTGAATTGTATTGTTGTGAGTCCTCAAAGGTTGGCAAAGGTGGAGTTTCAGATCTCTTCCTCCATAAAGAGGCAAAAAGTGGTGACGAAGGTAAAACGGGCAACCACCGAGCCTAATTTGATCGACGTAGTCGAAATATCTGATGACACTACAGATCAGTTACTGAGAAAGCCTCGCCAAGAGGTTTTGGAATTTTTTTTGGGTTTAAACATTGAGGTTCAACTGATCTTTCCGGCCGAGGAGAGTGAAAAGGAGCGATTGCCTCAATCATTCCTCTGGCTCTGCCGCAGGAAAGCGGGAGCACCACGACTCAAGAGGAAGAGAGAGCCTTTAAGACTCTCTCCACCCTAGAAAGATTCATAGATGAATTTGTCAGGTCAAATGATCGCTATGACGGCGAGATGTCAGCTGATGCAGCAACATTTGCTTTTATCGTGGTGGTTGGTTTGCAGGCCGTAAATTTTGGGATTTTGCTGCTATCAGCCCAAAAAATTCATCAATTACCCGACCCATTGCTCATGATAGATCTCCAACAAGAGGGTTGACCCGGGGCGGGAGCGGGGGGGGTGCAAGCAAAACCAAACCATTAGCGGCATCGGTCGACCCTTCTGAGGTAGTTGTCGGGGTTTGGTTGCGGATCCTGTGAAAAAGCTGTCCACTCTCCTAGATGTTGAATTAGCGGCTCTGTGGATGGAGCTTGTCGCTCATCAAGGTGGGTGATCAAGATGTTATGGAAGCTGGAGGCACTTCAAGGGTTGATCTAATCTGACGATGTTCAACCGAAAAGCTGATCGGGTAGATCAGGTTAGGTTTGACAGAGAGTTAATTCTCTAGAAGTAGAGGGAGCATGTCCCCTCCGAGGTCTTGGAAGACCACTTTATAAAACACTTCGTCCGAGGCCTATGATCATGTCATTCATGATAAATGATATTTTAATAAATTTTGAAAGGATGTTTGGTGAGACATTTATCATTATGTGATGCTTCATTATACACGAATGACTTATAAATACACGAGGAGTATTTGGGGGTCGCTTCTTTTTTAATTTACACGCTTTTAGTTTCCTTTCTTTCCCTTCGGTCTTCTCTTCTACCTCATCCTCCGGCTACTTCTGTTTTTACCTTATGAGATGCCCCCCAAATACTCCCTTACTTTGTTTGGTTTTACTAAGAGCATTGAAGCTTTGATGCTGGCGGAGAACGGGGTGAGGGAGCTATAGGGGTGGTATATTCCCGATGACAACATTGGACTTCAGAAGTTGCCCTAGTCGGCACGAGCAACAGATCTTCTAGGTAACGATCTGGTCTTCTATTAAGAACAATTCAAATATGGCCTCCTGTTACCCCTTTGTCTCCGGAGCGTCTTCAATACGCACGGGGTTATCCGGGCACAAGTGATGTCGAACTTCATAGTCGCGATAACGATTTTCATTATTTTATGTTGGTTGGAGAATATTGTGTGATCGATCAACCTTTTTAGATATTTTTTTCTTGTTTAAGGTCGACAGGGAAGGCTACGCCTTGTTTTCAGCGGGCAAGGAACTCCATTTGGTGGGAGTAGAGAATAAAATAAATGACCAGAAGAAGAATTTCTTGGTCGATTCCTATTCCGGTGCTTGAGGAATTCAGGTCGATCCATCAGGGAGCATGATTTCCAAATTGGGTCTCTTTCGAAGAGCATGACTGTTGCCTTAGAGATGCTGACTGGTTGTCACCTCCTAGTTCCACAATTCACTGCTGAGGTGACTATTACTTGTGTGTTGAAGGGTAAGATGACAGGTGAGCAGTGGAATGACTCAGGTATCTTAGAGGAGGTCCAGACACAAATGATGAATGAAAATCTGGCCACCAAGAGTCTCTACGTTTATTCATAGCATTGTTGTTCACGATAAAGGTGATCGATAAAGTTGTTTTTATTGCCCTAAAACGTGCTTCTTATTATGTTGATGCAATGGAAGAACACGGGAGAGCTTTTGTCTCTGAAAGAAACCCGAACAAGACTGTTTTCGCCAACCCTTCTTCTTCCAGAGCAAACATGGCATCTGGCGTGTTGTCGAGTGTCACCATTCTGCTGGACTCACGAGCTAGGGCTCTGTCCTACGTTGCTCAATCTGAAACAGACAAAACCATCCAGACCACTCCCACAGCTTTGGCCTATTCATCATCGGGAGCATCGACGTCGTCATCTGACAATCAGGCCTCATCCTCCCCTAAGAGGGCAGTGATATGTCAACGCAGGAAAGAGCCGAAATACGACATAGAAATTCCATGTTCTCCACCCTTGAAAAAGAGCAAGGAGATTCTAGAGTGCGAACACACCTTGTATTTGTGAATTGCATATTAAAGCTTAACGTTAATGAAAAAAACTCGAATAAAATACGACTCAACTAATCTCTTATTGAGATTTAACCAAAAGTTCAAACAATAGCAAATGTTCCAAATCTATTTGACAAAGGTTTAAATAATATTCAAGCAAAATTCAAATGTTCTTTAATTCAAGTTACCATAATTTTGATAGAAAATGGTCAATTGCAATAATTATAGTTTTAATAGATCACAATACAAACACAATAAATATAATGCAAAAAATTGCAATTTAAATAGATCAAAGTGTAATCACAACAACAATAACACAAAAAATGTTATCTTTCATACATACACCATTCTATAACTTTGATACATCAAATTGTAATCATAATTATTTATAATACAATATCATAAGTTTGATATGACAAAGCCTAACAACAACAATCACACCACAATTTAATTGAAGACCCATTATTCATAGAACTAGATAAAAACTAAAAAATAATAGGTATTAATCATTTGTTGTGGACCTAATTGAATAATGTAGTATTTTTCTCTCTAATAATGAGCATGTATATATATA